AAAGCAGAACAAGAGAATTCTGGGAGGGAGGCTGGGAACCTTTGAGCTTTTGTGATAAGAAATACAACTCCTAGAGAGCATGCCAATCAGGATCAGGGTTTCCTATGATTATAGGCAGAAGCAACCTTAACCACTAACAATGATCAGTGACTGTGCAGAAACAGAGAGATTAATAATACAGAGAACACCTATGTGACATGTTTTCAGAATCAGCTTTTAATCTGAGCTACTGAACAGCCTATTTACAAGTTCTGGAGCTGCCAATCCATACTAATTCTAGAAGTAGGGGATATGTGAGGATACCTATATATTAGTCAAATTTTGAGATATATATTTCTTTGAGAAATACATATTTAACAGAAACCAAAGTCTTTTTTTTTTTCCTGCAAGGGTGAAGTCTGAGCAATCAAAAGAGGACTTTCAAATCTTAAGACCCACTGTCCTCTAGCGAATGGAAGATCGGGTGACAGACTCGAGTGAAATCACAGCTCTTAGCTACGTGATCTTTGGCCAGTTCCATATTGGCTTTTAACGTCAATTGTCCTGCCTTCAAAACAAAGTCAATAACAGTAACATGTAACATGTATGTGTTGCCATAGGGTTGGATAAGATGGTATATGTAACATGTTAGGCAGAGCCTGACCATAGAAAACACCCAGGGAGTGAAGTTTCTATTCCCACCTTCCTTAAAATTTTAACAAGTAGGCTAAGGGGCTTGCTCTGCAATTTCTCTGAAATCCCTCAGGGAAAGGATCGATGTACACAGTGCAAGTATTTCCTGAGGTGAGGACTTGTAACAGGCACCCAGAACCCAAAGGCTACACATTCTTAAGATCAAAACTCAGTTGCCAGCAGCCCCACTAAGACCTGGTCCTGCTCTGAGGATAGTGTTTTCTCTGCTCAAGGATTTTCCCAGGTAAGGTTTGCCCAGTGTTCTCTCTGCTTCTGCATGTCACCGGCCGATGTCCTCTCGCCCCTCAGAACTGCCTCCTATTATTACCCTCCTGCTACCCTTTCCCCTGGTAATTGTCGGCGATGCCCTCCATCTGCCCTCTCCCCCGGGCTAATTGCCTTCTGTTTCTACCTCCTCATCGGTCTCATGCCTGGTCTGCCCTCCTGTCACCCCTCTTACCTGCTAACCTCTGCATGATTTGCTGCCTGGACTTAGGCAGCCTGGGCCTTTCTGCCCTTCAGACTGCCTGCTGCCTGCTGATTTCCTGAGCTGCTTGCCCCACCTGCTGCGTGCCTGGGGTCACCTTCCTGCTGCCTGCTCCACCTGTCCCAGGGCTGTTTGATTTCGCCCCCTGAAATGCACAGATGGGATCTCTCCAGCATCTCTGTGATTGTCTAATGGAGAAGTGAGATGCAAATGACTGTGTAGAATAAATGGAAAGGAAGAAAAAAATGAGATCAAACCAAAGCAAAACAAAATAACTCCACAAACACCCAGAGAGGTCTGAAGAATCTAGAATAATTGAACTAAATAAATTTGTCTGTCTCAAAATCCAAGACATAGATGAAAGATTAAAAGAGGGTAAACATACTTGAGAACTGGTTAAAATGTGCTTTCCACTGTGTAGGAAGCAGCCAAATATTGCAAGTAAGTGCCCAGAGGGTAAAGGTTTCCTCTTCCATGTCTATCCCTGAAAGGATCAAGCCTTGGTGATAGGCAGACCTGTTCATAGACAGCAATTGCATTTCACTGCTTGGCATATTGTAATTGAACACCAGAGACACTTACACCTGCTCCTGAATATCAGCAACCTCTACCTGGTTTTTAGTCTTCCATATCTATTTTAGAATCTTTCCTAGCACTGAGAATAGGAACTACTTTGGAGAGTGGCACCTTCTCTGATTTTCTCCAATTGTTTGTTTAAACTGCCACTAAATACTCACAAATTGGGCAAAATGATAAGTTAATAGAATCTTGTTGAGCACTTTACTCTCAAAGACAGAGTTCAATTTAGAGAAGAGAAATAGCTCTTAGGTCAAAACTCAGTTGTGTCATCCAGAATCCAGAGACCTTCTATTTTCAAATGGGAAATCACCACAGAAATCAGATGTCAGACTTCTAAACTCAGCTAAGAACTCAAGTTGAGGTAAGAAGGGGTGACATGAACACAGCTTTGGCTATGGTATCTAAGATTTGTTCTCCTTCTCCAAGCTAAAGAGTAGTTCTTCATTTACAGCCCTCTCAAGCAGGAGCTTTTTAAAATGCCTATGATTTCATTCCCACAGGTTGAACTATCAGTTACTGTCAATTTGTCTAAAAAGCTCCACTCTTCAATAAAATTTGTTACCTCCAATCAGAAATAGTGTTACCTTGTTATTGTTCTCAAACTCACAGTCAGAACAATAAGGTGATCATCACATTCCTTAGTTTTTAAAGTCATTTTTTCCCCTAAAAAAAAAAACATTCTTTGAGGCCTCCCCTGGTGGTGCAGTAGTTGAGCACTGGGCTGCAAAGCTGCCCGAAGCCTCTGCAGTGCCGGTTCAATCCCCAGACGCTGGCGAGGGTCCCACATGGTGTGACAGACCTCTCCTGCTGCACCCTCTGCTCCCCTCAGCAGCGTATTTTGTCAGTCTGCCTGTTCTGTTCCCTGCTCTGGCTCTGGTGAATTCTCTCACCCTCCCACACTTCTGACTGTACCCAGTGCTTGCATAAATAAATAAATAAATCTTTAAAAAAAAAAAAAAACATTCTTTGTATGTTAATAATGTTAATGAAGGCAACTGACCCCAGTCCACCTCCTTTGGGCCTCAGTTTCCTCATTTGTAAAGCATAATAAAGAGCAAAGAAAAGCAGACATTCTCTTGAGATTCTACTGAACTTGAAGATACTGAACTCCTAAGGCTTAAATGATCAAATTATTTCTGAACATGTCATGATCCCCATTGACAAAGATGCATTGTCAACATCTGCTGGGCCAGTTTCCTAGTTTTTATGGCCCTAGAATGTAAGGAGAAACAGCACTAGAGGATCCAGTCATTTTCTTTGGAAGATGAATATGTCTAAAAATCAATCTCCAAGGCTATAATGAGAGACACAGAATCTGTCGATATGAATCACAGAAAGTATGAGGTGAAGGAAATCTCAGTGATGCCGATTCCTACAGCTTTAAAGTAAGGAGCTTTAACTCCTATGTTTTTATGGCATTAATCTGCTGACCAAGGTCTCAAAAATGCAAGTGACTTGCTGAGTTAGTGACAGAGCTGGACTAGAGCCATTGCTTTCTAGTTTTGATCCATATAAGACTTTATATTTATGATCTTTACATAGAATTTTTAGATCACCCCCTTCATTCAACCCTTGATATTTGGGTGGGTGAGAGTCATAATTAATGCAATAAATTAAAAAGTCTTGCTGATTTGGCAGATGTGGAAAAAAAAAAAAAACATTTTGGAATTTTACTCCTTGGCTTAATTGAATAAATGTGAGATCAGGTCACAGTCCATATCATGTGAAAAATATGAGTGCTGATGTCTTCAAATTGACAGAAGAATCATTTACCATCTATTCCCATCTCATAGTAATTAAGCTCATTGCCTCCATTGCTCAGCACCATTTCAATTTTCCACCACAGGTATTTTTAATTGCCTCTATTCTTAAACTAAAGAAGAAAAAATAAAATAAGGAGCCAATAGCTTACTCCAGTGAGAAAGTGAGAGAGAACAAGAGAGAAAGAGAAAGAGAGAGAGAGAGAGAGAGAGAGACACTTAAATGTGATAGATTTCAACTCAAATTATTTTTAAAGAAATTTAAAGATGCTATTAGAGGTTCCTAGTCCCACCTACTACAGAAAATCTTATTATGATCACACATTCTTGAAACACCATTATAGTGAAAACAGTGCATAATGTAGGTTAATTTATAGGTGGTCAGAAAAAAATAGACAAATGAAACTAAGTTTATTGGACTTACTACAGTAAGGGAAAATACCAACTTTGTAGCATCTCAAATAGAAAAATTAGGCAGAAGTAATTATAGGTGCTTGACTGGGCGGTTTTGAGGGGAAGGTGGCCTTCAAAGTGAGCTGGCTAGAATTGGGCAGAAATTATGACATGATATTTTTGGATTGGTTGGTGCAGAGAGGTGAGGGTTTTGAAGTGAGGCTGAATAAGTAGATACTTTAGTCAGGTCACAGTTTTATTACTAACCCTTAATACAAGTACAGTGGAGGCCATGTGGGTGGGATATGAACTATGCTATCTATTTTGGAAGGCAATTTGCCAGTATTAACAAAAATTTAAGGTTTTGAATCAACAGCTTACATATTAAAGATATATTCTGCATCACATAATCACAAAATACACAAAAACTTCTAACCACAATGTGTTTAGTTGTAAGAACCTAAAAACAATTTAAATGCCTATTGACAAGGCATTGGTTAAATTAATGTCAGAAAAGACATATCATTTAATGATACAAATGAAAATATTAAGGTAGATTTTTATGTAGTGATATGGAAAGATATCTAAGCTTATTCTTCCCTTAAAAATACTATGAAGACGGGCCTTCCTGGCAGTGTAGAAGGTTGAGCACCATACTGTGACGCTGTTGACAGCCTCTGCAGCATGAGTTCAATTCCCGGCCGGCTAGCAAGCAACCCACATGGTGAGGTAGACCTCTCCTGACTCACCCGCTGCTCCCCTCAGCAGTTTATTAAGTCAGTTGGCCTGTTCTGCTCCCCGCTCTGTCTCTGGTGAATCCTTCTCACCCTTCCGTGCATCTTCCTGTACCCTGGTTCTTATATAAATCAATAAATCTTAAAAAAATACTATGAAGACATATGAAACACTTATGGTTTCTCTCTCCTTCTTTCTCTCCCCCTCCACACACACGTGTGCGCACACACACACACACATCTGTGTAAATAGTTAAATGATTTTGGTATCCAGGGTGATAAGCATAATGCAATATTCTGAAATAATTGGGGGTGTCTCTATGGGGAAGAAGTGTAGATTTTACACTAGTTTGATAACTACTTTTCAGTTCTTACCTGTTTCATGGACATGAATTGATTTTATAAATTCTGGCAATGGATCTCACAGTAACTCCAGAATGACTCATTAGCTTCCATTTTCTGATGCTCTGTTTGCAGGACCTGTAACTGGACCTGGAAATGAAATTTGTGAAAACTGAGATAGATTGTGAGTATAACACACCATATTTCAAAGCCTTAGTATAAAGAAAATAATATAAAATATTTCAATAATTGTAAATTAACTATATATTAATATGATATTTTGGCTATCTTGGATTACCTAAAATACATATTAAAATTTGTTTTAGCTTTTCTTTTTTTAATGTAGCTACTAAAAAAATAAATTATACTGGAGCTTATGTTTGTGACTCACTTTATATTTGTATTGGGTAGTACTGCTCTAGATCCTGAAATAATCTTTTTTTTTTTCTTTTTCAAGAGTACCTAGCTGAGAGTGTGTCGCTATCTGAAAACTGAGCTCTCTATTCTTCTAGCTTCCTAGATTTCTCACACCCCTACATTTTCTCTCACTTAAAACTAAGAGTTATGTGATAAGATAATTTATCTCAGTTGGGACATGGAGAATGAATATAAATCTGAGATTTCAATGCTGAGTGATGGACGTATGTCAGTGTATTAACAAATAACCAAGTAGAAAATGGTTTGAGGATGAAGGCAACCTGCTTGATTTTAAGTGCATATGTCCAGCAGGTATTCTACACAGAAAACGTTCAAATGGTGATCTAGGATGACAAGACTTCCAAAGTTAGTGTATGTTAGAAAACCATCCAATTAAATGCATTTTTAAATATTCTGTTCTTAAAGTTTGCCAGAATTCATTTGACTAAACTGCATTTAAAGTAAAATGTTACAGCTTTGGTACACATTTATTTATGTCTTTTATGGATATTAGAAAGTTGTTAAGAAAGTAGATCCTAAGAGTTCTCATCACAAAGGGTGGTGGGACAGGAAAAGGGAAAAATGAAGAGTTTTTAAATAAACTAATTTTTTTTTCCTAATAAGATATATTTATTATTTGTTTAAAGATTTATTTTATCCATTTATGCATATAAGAGCTGGGTCAGATATGGTAGGCACACTGAAATTAATAACAGGGATATTTTTTAAATTATGATTAATATGCTAGAACTTTAATGAAAAACAGACTAGGACATATAATAACACATGTATAAGTAGAGAAAGGAAATTCTAAGAAAGCATCTAAAAAAAAATACTGGAGGGCAAAATTACTGAAATAGAAATGAAGACTGCCTTTGAATGATTCATTATAAAGATGGGATATGACTGAGAAAAAGACCTTTCAGTTTGGTGATATGACAATAAAAAAATGCAAAACCAGAAAAAAAAAAAGAAGAGAAGAATGAAAAAAAGGTACAGAATATCCAAAAACTCTGGGGCAATTATAAAGTATTTAACATACACATAATATGAGTTCCTTAAGGTAAAATAAAGTAATAGAAACAATATTTGAAGCACTGAAATCCATTTCACCAAGTTAATGTTAGACATGAAGTCACAGATGCAGAAAGTTCAAAGAACACCAAGCAGGAAAAATGACAAGTAAAACTACACCACTTAGGTATATCCTATTCAAATATCAGAGTGTCAAAGATAAAGAAAAAATATTAGAAGAAGTCAGTTGAAGGGCAGGGCAGAACTTACCTAGAATCATATTTATATTATAATCACAGTGTAATCAGTTGAGATGAATATTATAATCCTTAAAGCAAACACTAAGAAAATATTTTGAAATAATAATATCACAATCAACAGGGGAATTAAAATGGTATATTATAAAATATGTATTTAACATCATGTTAAATATGTAACAAATAGATATTTAACAAAAATGGCAATAAAAAGAAAAAGATGAATAAAACAAATGAGATAATAGAAAGCAAAGAACAAAATGGCAGCAATAAATTTAACCATAGAAACAGTCACATGAAATGTGAATGAATTAAATACAAAAAACAAAAAGCAAAGACTGTCAGTCTGAATGAATAAAAAAGACACAATATTAGTTGGTCTCTATAAAGATCACACCTCCCATTCAAAGACGCAAATAAATGAAAAGCAAAAAGATGTAAAAAAGTTAACACAAATCATCACCTATGAAAACTAAAAGGGCTATATTTGTATTATACAAAATTTAGTTGAATATAAGAACTAATTACCAGAAAAAATATATAAATTTTATAATGTTAAAAAGTTTCAAGTATCAGGATGATGTAATAGTTGCATTTACACATTAAGCCATAGTGCTCCAAAATAAAACCAGCAAAAATTTCAAGAAATGAAATTATATAATTCAAACATATTAGTTTGAATTTTAAATAACCTATTTTCTGCAATGAATCTAGAAACTAAACAAAATTATTAACAAACATAAAGAAGAATTACATAACAGTATGAACCAAATCTTAGCTATCTGCAGAAAAGTCTGCCTAACAACAGTGAAATGTACATTCTTCTCAAGTGAACATGGAAACCACTCAAGGAAGGATGAATGTATAAATAACTATAACATATATAGTATATATTTAGATGAATTATATAGAATGTGTATTTTTTTGAATTCCACATATAAGTGAGATCATATGGTGTTTGTCCTGTCTGATTCACTTATCTTAGGATAATGTTCAAGGTCCATTCATGTTGTTGCAAATGGTAAACCACATTTTTCATGGCATAATAATATTTCATTATATATATATATGTGTGTATGTGTATCCAATCTCACATTACACATAAGTCTGCTATGAACTTAGTCTTTCTATAAACATATATTTTATTGTAGGTTTGTAAAAGCTTTTAAATAAATCAATCCAATGCAAATATCATCTATAGGTGAACAGTTAACCAAATCATGGCATATTTATCCACTGAAACACTATTCAGAAAAAAGAGTAATGAAGTTTGATAAATCTGAGGACACTGGGGAATCTCAAAATAGCAGTGGCTAGGTGAAAGAACACAACAAAAGTACCTACTGCGTAATTTAACTTACATAAAATTTAAAAAATATAAAAACTAATCTATAGTCATAGAAAGAAGATGACTTCTTGCCTGGGAGTCAGGGATTAAAGAGGATCAGGCGGGAGGGATTACAAAATGTCATGAAGAAACATGGGGTGATAGATATGCTTGTTATCGTGTGTTGATGATTTCACGGGTGTACGCATATGTCAGAAGTTATCAAATTGCAGACTTAAACATGCAGTTTATTGCATGTCCTTTATATCAATATATAGTTGTAAACCGTAAACATATGTATATACTAAGGAGAAGTGAATATTTAATTCACGATTATCACATTATTTTGGAAAAATCAATATGTCAAAGGAAGAGAAAGCATAAGGACGAGAGGAAAATTTCTTCATATCTAAGAGAAAAGAGCGGAGGAGGCTGGAGAAAAGAGGGTGATAATATAGGTATTCAGTGTTTGACATGTACAAATTATTAGGTCTTTCTGTCTAATCATCTGTTCCAATTAACTGGAAAAACCTCAAATTCAGTGAGGTTCTCCAAATAGCAATGGGAAGTTGATTACAGAAAACCAGAGTTACTATAAACAACTACATTGTACCTATATAAACCAGCTTTACATCAAAGATGTGTTAAAAGGCATATAAAGCAATATAATTCCAATGTATCAAAACATTTGGATTACTATAATTAATATAATGAGTAGTTGCCTCTAACTTATCTTACTCTAAAGTTTTTACTTGCTGCAAGAGAGGGGAACTGGCATTGGATATTGATTATTTGTCCTTTGCATTTGTTGACTTTTGAGGATATTCTTCATTACACATTTGGGTCTCAGTTTCTCCACTTGCAAAATTAGGTCATAGAGATATTTCTGTGCAGCCAGGTTATTGTAGGATAATGAATTACTTGATAATTCATTGTGATCTTTGGCACAAGTACAAAGCATTATTATTGTTATTAAATATTATTAGCTAGGGTATGGTGCTGGACTGATAATTACTTCAAGAAACACTTCATAAAATGCTAACTATAAAGTGTACATAAATTTATATATCCATTAATATCAAACTTGATATGAACAAATATTTTGGAAGCCTGCCAATGTTATCCCTTTCATAGTGTTAGTAAATTTCAATTTATATTCAAACCCATCCCCTAGGTCCTTCACATGCAACTCTCTTCGATAACCAATTTAAGTTCCTTGGGTTGAATAAAACTAATTCACTTACCTCTTTCATTAGAAGGCTAACAGCTTATGATTCAGTATTAAAAGGAGTTAGGAGGCCACCCCTTCCCCGCCATTTCCATACTACAGTTATGTTAGCTTTACATTGTAAACTTTGGTAAGAAAAATGACTGTAGAAATTAGGGAAGTGGGGAATTAAGATTTGGGAAAGTAAATAAAAACAATTTAGATATTGCTATGTTAACATAAGGGGTTGCACACATATTGAAATTGCCAAAAATAGTGCTCATCAGAAATTAACGTTATTGTCATTTCAGAATACCTATCACCAATGTTGCCCTTGGAACTGTGAGGGATCAACAGGGGGAAGAGGGTTGGGCCGCTGTGATAATTATTTGTAATTTATCATTTACATGTGTCTGTGTATGATTCAAAGGTCTGGTGTCTCATTTGTGAAGCACTAAGTGAGCCCTGTTGGCTACTGACCGTGCAGACCATTCTAATATCAAGGCTAATTCCCTATCTCTGCTCTCTTTATATTCTGAAGCATCCCAATTCTACAGGAAAAAAAATACAAGAACAATATAATGAATATTTCTATCTTATTCCATGATCCCCTATTCGATAATATCTTGCCACATTTGCATGTAGTCAACCTCTCTGAATTTACAGAACCATTTGAAAATGTCACATATAGGGCCTCCCCTGGTGGTGCAGTGGTTGAGCGCTGGACTGCAAAGCTTCCTGTAGCCTCTGCAGCGCCCGTTTGATCCCCTGCTGCCAGGCAGGGTCCCACATGGTGTGCAGACCTCTCCTGCCGTGCCCGCTGCTCCCCTCAGCAGTGTACTTTGTCAGTCTGTCAGTTCTGCTCCCCACTCTGGCTCTGGTGAATTCTCTCATCCTCCCACGCTTCTGACTGTACCCAGTGCTTGTA